TGAGTCTAGCATATCTACAGTTGTCGTTCTTCTCAATGTTTACATAAATAATAGCACACGCCGACCAATTCGAAAACATTATTGCATATAACTCAGGAGAATAATTTTGCATTCACAAGGTGAAGACATGGTCACATTACTGGCCATGGGCAAACAATGAAGGAAATTAAACAGCCTTATTTTACTCAGGAGGTGAATTTGTACTTCTTAAATAGGGACCAGAAAATGTCATTTTTTGCCGACTTCTAATTATTTCACCAGTAGATGAATCGAATCACAGGCAATTAAAGTAAGCACGCAACTCATGCCTATTTCAGTAGGGTCGGATGTTAATAGGTGAGCTTGTCCGTCCATACATGCGGATCGGCTACCACAATTTTTAATGAAGCAGAAGACCTATTAGGCAAACCATTCAAAAGAAGTAGATGGCTTTAAAATCCTGTCTTTTCAGGTATTACACATGCGAAATTTCCAGGAAAAGGACAACTCACGTAAGTAAACCATAAACCTTGATTTAGACTACTTTTTGTTTCTGTAAATTTTGTTACCTGTCCCCCATCAATCACCTATTTTCATGTCTGTAGGCAAAATTTCGATTTGACAATAAGACCCGAAATCCACTTTTTAAAATTGTGCAGCTCTGATGACCTGCTGGACCACCAGAGTAAAGCTCTGTCAGAACAGACAGGTTATTGTTGGTTTAATTCACATTTAAGATTGTCTAAACTTCCGCAAATTCGCTGTTGCGAGTGATTGGGACTACTTTTTCAATTTACTGCATCAAGCATTTACATGACTGCCTAAGAGTCTTTACCCACGAAGTTGATAAGCTTTTACCCTTTATTACACGTTAAATGATTAATTAATTTATGATTTATCGTAAAAATACCATTAATTGGAATGAAATAGAATTTTGGCCAACTCTTTCAGCGATGTCCAAAATACTCGAAGTGGAGTTTGTATACCTCCCCCTCGGTCTTCCGGAAGTCGACCATGCGAAAAACCTGAGCGTTCTTGAGGATGTCATCGGCAGTTTTTGGGGCAAGTCGGGGCCACCATTTGAGTTGGCCAATGGGAACAAGCAGTTCATGCGCCTCAAGAGCATCTGTGAAAGTGCCCGTCTCGTAGGAAGTGTGAGTGCTGTGCAAGCGGCTGCAGAATCGTTTCTGCCCTTCCAACTAGAAAGTGTGGCCGAATTAGAGGTAGCTGGGAGTGCGTGTGCCAAAATCCTTCAGTCGGTTGGCAGCAATGCCGATGTCAGCAAAATCTTTCCCGGTCCATTCACAACAAGTAATTTTGTTTTGTGCGCAGTAGTACTTTTGCTCAATTGGTTTGTAATTACTGTGTTCCAAGCGACATTTTACCGCTTCCAACATAAGAGAAGGCATTTCGTTCCAAAATACTTCGATTGGGTTTTTAGTTAAGGTTTGATGAATTTTATGCACAGAAATAAGCAGCTTTGCGTTATATGGTCTCGCATGCACTTTTGAGAGGGAGGAGGTCGTGATAAAGGCTTCCACATACATGCATCCCTCGCACTAAACTGAAGTATACAAGCTTCAAACCCATTGGTAAAGATGGAGTTTGGAACATAGCACCCACGTTATCTAACCTATAAGTAAACGGGAATGTATATCTCGAAAAAAAGAATGAAACGCTTGGTAGTCGTCATAATTGCGACTGGAAGTTATTAGATTCTTGATCGGTGTGAGTTAAAGCAAATGGAAAAATTACATATCTTTTGGTATAACTGGGTGTGTTTTACTCCATCTTTAACATTATTGTGAGTCACTTCGAAACGTATATCAATGGCGGAGAGCTAAGAAGTGTCTTAACCTTTCGCCAGGTTGTTTTCGCATGCACCTTTAGTAACATGCAAACTCTGATGTCCTTTTTTATGCAACTATGTCAATTAACGTTATTTGGTGACTTGCACGCACAAAATTACTTATGGAGCACAGCATCTGGTCGGTAAATGCAATCTATAACAAAAGCATGTGATGACCTGAGTGTAAACACATTTGCCGACCTGATGACGGAAATTGCACTTGTATCATTTAAACAAATGTCAAAATGCACTGTTTCACCCGCGTTTAGCGAACATTCCTTACTCGGACCAGGTGAT